CGTGACCCTGCGCCATTGAGAGCTGGGAAATTTCTTGCGACATGAACATGGCACACACGATGGGCGTATGTGCCCCCGAAGCAACGTGCAACATACGTACTTACCAACCAAATACCATCCAGAGCCACCCATTTGGCCGCCCTCTGTTTGACTTGTTCGTTTGTCTGTCTCTCCTGCTGTGGGTGTGTGTGTGTGCTAGTGTGTGTGTGTGTGTGAGAGGGGGGCGGTATTCCTGTGTCCAACTGTCGTCCTTCTGGCCCCTTCTTCGTCCTGGTCCCTCGTCCTTTCGGCCCGTCGCTGTGCGAGCTTGTTAAGTTCATTAAGGTTGAATAATAACAACAGTAACTACATTTTAAAGGAGTTGTCAGTTGTTAGGAGCGTGGCCCGTGCCCGTTCAGTACAGTGAACACTGGCCTAATGAGCTTACATTTTTAGCCTTCTATATTTATGTGATTTAATTTGATTATATTTTGAGGAAGTGTGTTTCATTGAAGGTAGAAATTGCTATACGTTCTTAGGCTTAAAAAGTATTCTTTGCCTTGCATATTTATAATTGTTTAAATTTTTGTGTTCCGAAAAGCGTTTCAGCTAAAATCTGAAAGCAAACATTTGCGTATTTGCAATTTTTATTAGGTGGTGTTAAATATTCTTATTTTTTTCAATGCTTTTTCTTTGCATAAGAAAAAACAAGCAATGGAAATGGATGTTTCAATTTCGCCAACTGACGATGCAACCATTTTATTTCATACAATATTTTTCAGATGGATTTTCGTGATTTTCTTTTTCAATGTTTTATTTTTTTTGTACTATGTTATTAATAAATTTATGTTGGAGTTGATTGTTTTTTAGGTTATTGTTTTCATTGAATCGTACTTTGAAATTTTCCATGATCGTCCGGTGATTGAATAAGTCAAGTAATTAGGACGAAGTCCTTTATTAGGAGTATTTACTGTGGCCACGTTCGTGCCGTGACGTTCAGGTGTCTTGGCTTTCTGCCCGCTGTGCGCCCGCCTTGACTTCACTCATGTTGTTAACTGCTCTTATTACAACTTATTCTACTTATGCGCTCCTTGTTTGTCAACAACAACGCCAGCAACAAACATAAGGACAACAACAACAACAACAACAACAACAACGAAGGAAAAAGGAACACAACCTGTAACCGAGTCCTTGTGGTCCCCTTTCCGAGTTAAAGGTGCATTTACATCGGGGCGAAACTCTTTATTTTTAACTTTTGCCCACAAACGTACCTACGTATAGTACATCCGAGTACTCATACCACATATATAAATCGTTCTATATTTTTTGCGGGCTTCTTATTTTCCTTTGGGTTGGGCTGGCTGGCTGGCTGATGTAGAGTGGAGCTAATCCCAGTCTGCTCCTTTCCTGTTCCTGTTTGTCTGCCGCGGGCCCAGCATCCAAAACATTTTCCGAGTGGGAGCAACATGGGCCGGCGATTCCTCGACATGTGTGTGTTGGCGAAAAAAAGCGAGATGAAAATAATCAAGTTTCCGACAAACATCAACATGACGCCAAGATAAAAAGCTTCCAGGATGCGCTGGCATCGCTCAGCCACTGCAGGACAAGATAAGACACATCATCAGGCGAAGCTGCGGGAGATGCACTGACAAAAATAATCCTAGGTTAGGAGAGGGGTTCAAATATTTTTTCAGCTCAAAATTTATTTTTTTTAAGTATTTTTATCATTTAAATTACATATCACAAAGAATTACTGTTCTAATTATATTACTCTTAATAAGGATTGCAATGATTTGTTGTTTTCCAGTTAACAGATTTGATTATTATCTTATTATTTTTATTTAAATGGAATTTTTTGCGATGTGCTGCAACGGACTTCAAGTTGGTCCATTTCCAGAACTTGGCTTGAAATTGGCTGGCTGCTGCTTTCGAAGGGGGGTGGGTGGTTGGGTGGTTGAGTGGGTGGTGCTTTCCCCGCTGTGGGTTCAAGTATCAGCCCTTTGCCAGCTTCTTTGGGCCTTGTGGCAGCCTCAAGTTGTGTTCGTGTTTGCTTTAAAAAGTATATTGGATTGCCCTAGCCGCAAAAACCCATATGTCTGCGTATGTCTGCTCATCTATTCGTCTATATCTATATATGTATCTGATATATCGGCCGTCTGTTGCTGACGTAGGAAATTTTCCACTTCTTTCGGGTTTTATTTATTTTTTTTTTTCTATTTTTGGGGCCCCATATTCGCTTTGTTTTTAATTTCGGTTCTATACAAATATTTTCAATCGTTTGCGGTGGAAAATTTTTGTTTTTCTCGTTCAAAAAAGTTCACAAGCAAAGCCACTTTAAATGTTAAACAAAATTATAACTGAATGCATAGAAGGCAAGTGGAAAAAAGGTTAGTTGCCCACACATGTCGATAGCATGGAAGGAGTGGAGAAGGGGGGAAAAGGGGGTGAAGGAGGTAAAGGAGGGGAGGAGGGGAGGAGGGGAGGAGGTGAAGGAGGCCTGAAGAACAGGGCGAATGGAGTGTGGCGCTGTTTGAATTTCTGCTGAAGTTAACATTTTTATAATTCCATTAAGCGGACGGTCCTGTCTCTCTATCTCCCTCTATTTCCCCCACCCCTTCTCCGTTTCGTGTGTAACATGAGGATTTTCCCACCACACACACACACACACACTCACACACCGGCAAAACGGCCGTACAAAGTTGGTCCGAAAAGTTTTTGCATTCATAAATCATTTCCCTCTTTTTTCCAGCCTCACCTTCGTTTCACGTTTAAAGGTGGAAAATACTTTTCGCTGAATTCGTAGAATTTCTCAGGGGGCGGGTCTGCTCATGTTTCATATGCCACGAACGGGGTTTTCAGAGGGGAGGGGAACGGGGGAACGGGGAACGAGGGGATCGACTTCGGCAAGATGTGGGCAACGTTAAGTTGCAACTTGTTGCCTACTTGGTTACACGACGCCAATCCCACACCCACTCGTCCTGGCATATCCTTGTCATTTTTAATTTATGCGCAGGCCAAGCTTGAACTTTCGCAAAACTTAAGAGGAAAACCCGTATGTGGGCGGCGCCTCGGAAAAGTTGTGTCTTGTTTTTGCCCTTGGCCAGTAATTTAATTGCTTCCATGATCGGTATTTTTTACAGGAACAATAAATATTTAAGCAGAAAGATTTCAATTACAGGGAATATATACATTTTTAGTTCTTACTCTTGATTTTTGTTGGCTTAACTTTCGTTGCTTAAAAATGCTTTCTGCGGAAATGATGCACAGAAATGGGAAATAACTGCTAACAAGCGTCATAATTACAGTTCTCAAAACATGCTCGCACATACTATATATGCAGCTTTCCGTTGCTGCTTTTCCTTTTTTTTCCACTCCCTCCGTTTTCCATTTTCCACTTTCCACCCACTGCGGCAGTGCTTCTCCGGTGACTTTTGCATACTTTTCGGAAAACTTTTAATTTTCGAACTTTTGTCGCTTGCCTGGCATATGTTTTATGCTCTTTGCTCCTTTACCCCCAAACTTTCTACACTTTCTCCTCGATTGGCCCAATCTGACGACGTCTTATTAGGCAAATGAAAAGCTGCAAACTTTTCCTCGAGACTCACTCGAGTTATGTGACTTTCCCGAAGGACTCGGCTCGCCGGGATTTTCTTAAATATCGTTTTGAATACCATATCCATATCCTCTTCCCTTTTCACTCGATTCTTTATCGCTTTGTTTATGAAAGTCGCCCACTAATTGCAAACAAAGGTTTTGAGCGGGGAAATGGGGGGAGGAGGGGGAGATAAGCGGGGAAAGCATGTGCAAAAGTTGCCCGGATCTCAAAGTCACTGAAAGAAATTCTCTAAAGAAAAGGAACTCTTTGAAAGCCTTTCATTATTTAAATGTGAGAAAAGTTAGAAGCTAGAGATCAGTGGGTATTTAAATAATGCTTAAGGAAAATGTAGAAAGGAATATATTTGTTCCGTTTAAAACTATAGAATAATTGGGATCAAATAAATTAAAAATTACCTAACATTTAATATCTATAATTGAATCTTTATAAATTAAAACAATTTGTAAAATAGATTTTAGTTATAAAAAGTGAAGTATGCATATGACAAGTGTACCCAATTTCTTCTCAGTGCATGGTGTGCATTCATGCATGCAGCTGCTGCGGCAGCATCTGGGGGCGTGGCAGCGGCGGGAAGGGGGGCAGCGGCGTCCAGCGGGCGTTTCGGACATATCGCCTCGCTTTTGGCCGGGCAACAGTACCGCATTTGCATTTATATGCACATCCTTTGTGCCCAAAGGATATTACATTTTTCCACTTCAAGCATTTTTGTGAATTTAATGAAATTTTTAATTTTTATGCGCGCCAGATGGGCGTGAAGTGGTAGGTTCGGGGGGCGTGGCAGCGCCTCGCTTTCGCTCGGACTAACAAGCCGCAGAGATACGAGTGTTCCGCACTGGCCATTCTGCTGCATTCTCGGCGGGTCCAGTGGGTTAACTTTGCACAAAGATAAATAAAAAGTGGTCCTAGGCAGGGGAATACAGCCCCATATCCTTCTTATCCTGCCGCTCCTCCGCACGAAAACCATCACTTGTGGCAAAAAAGTTGAATTGGCCCTTGCGTTCTCAACACAGCTCTCGGGATTGTGGGCACTCTTGTGATGATTGCTGCTTGATTGCCAGCATTTCATGTTTTTTTCTTTATATGTACATATGAATGTTTTTCGGTCAGCAATAAGCGCATAAAATGTTAGAACTCTGAAATGTAACGCTAAAGTAATATATACCTTAATTTGTTAAGGCTTTTTCACCCCTCATTTAAAGTAGCAATTAGCCAGGTTGCACTGCACATTAGGCTAATTAGATGCGTTGACAGGATAGGATTAGATCGGGGTCAAAGCGGTTTGTTCAGTCATTAGTTTTATGTGGCTTATCGGCGATTGAGCCGAACGCAGCAGAAGCTTGCCATTAGGAAAATTGCCGCGGACAGAGGACAGTTGCTTGTGGACTGGCAACTGCGGCGAAGGCAAATGTTGCAGTATCTGTATCTGTGGCTCCTCCTGGGCACTCGATCCTTGGCGATCCGTGGTGCACTGCATCCGCCGGAACCGAAGGCGATGGCTCCCCTGGCGGCAGCTGCTCTGGAGATTCTGGAGGAGCAGGTCAGTCCGTCGCAGAGCACGTTAGCTGTAATCGGATTGACGCGGCAGGACCAGCACACGGATCATCAGCAGCAGGAGCTGATGACCTCGATCCTAATGGAGATGGGACTCTCGATGGCATTGCGCACTTTCCAAGAACCACCCACGGAGGTGCCCGCCGCCTATGTGGTTTTCCTGGTCAACTCCGCCGAGGCCTTCAACACGTTGGGTTTCCACTTCACCGATCACCATGCAACCAGGGAATATAACTTTCTGATCCTGCTCACACGCGGCATGTCCTCGCGAGCCGAGAGAGTCAAGGTGCTGAGGGAGATATCCAGTACCTGTGTGAGGTTCCACACCCTCAACGTGATCCTGCTCACCCAGAAGAAGAACGGCGTGGTGCTGGTCTACGCCTATCGCATGTACAACAAGTATTGCGATTTGAGCGTAACGCTCGAGCAGATTGATCAGTACGAGAACGGATCCTTTCGGTTGGGTCATCGGGCGAGGTCCTTCGATCGGGCTCTGAATAGTTTGTCTGGATGTCCCTTGCAAGTCAGCTGGTATCCGTTGGCGCCCTTTGTGTACTTTCTCGGCAACTCCAGTGATCCGGAGGAGCGGACTCAAACCTGGCGACTAACTGGCATCGATGGCGAGCTCATCAAGTTGCTGGCGGAGATCTTCCACTTTCGCATTCTGCTCGAGGAGCCGTGCGACAAGTGCCTCTCGCCGGACATCGCGGATGAATGTAGTGGCTGCTTCGACCAGGTCATCTACAGCAACTCGTCCATTTTGATTGGAGCGATGAGCGGCTCCCATCAGCACCGATCGCAGTTCTCCTTCACGAGCTCCTATCACCAGAGCTCCCTGGTGTTCATCATGCACGTGAGTCCGACTTTCGGGGCAGTTGCCCAGTTGGCGGTGCCTTTCTGTGGCCTAGTTTGGCTGGCTCTGGTTGTCTCCGGTGTCCTGGTGCATCTGGTTGTTTGTCTTGGCCAGCGGATCGATGTGGGCCACTCGGATGCCACGCGCAATGCTCTTCAGGTGCTCACCACTTTAATAGGAAATCCCCTGGAGGCGATTAGTCTACCCAGAAGCTCACGGGTTCGCATCCTCTTCGCCGGCTGGCTGCTCTTGGTTTTGGTCCTGCGAAGTGCCTACCAGGGCAAGCTCTTCGATTCCTTCAGGCTGGCCTATACCAAACCGTTGCCCACGGAAATATCGCAGTTGATAAAGGCGAACTACACGCTGATCACCCAGGAGTACTTGGACTTCTATCCGCGCCAGTTGACGGTGCTGACCAGGAATGGATCGAAGGACCGCTTCGACTACATGCAGGAGGTGGGCGACAGTGCCAGGATCACCACCACCTCCCTAATGGCCACCATGACCTTCTACAACCTGCGGCACTGGTCGACCAGTCGGCTAACCCACATAAAAGAGCACATCTTTCTCTACCAACTGGTCATCTACCTGAGACGTCACTCGCTGCTCAAGTTCGCCTTCGACCGGAAGATCAAGCAGCTCCTCTCGGCGGGAATCATCGGTTACTTCATCCGCGAGTTCGACAGCAGCCAGATCAAGAGTCCCTACGAGGAGGACTTCGAGGTGTCGCCAATACCCCTGGACTCCTTCTGCGGCGTGTACTATATAGCTTCGATTCTGCTGACAGCAGCTGTGATTGCCTTTTGCCTGGAGTTGGCCAGCTTGAGAGTCACCTGGTTGAGGAGGCTCTTTGAATAGAGTAAGCTTGTTAAAAAGGAACATGTTTTTTTGAATTTATAATCCCTATATGTGTGTTTATAAAAGTGTAAAACCAATGATTAGCTTAAAGGGAACACTTAAGAATCAATTTGGAAAACAAATATGGAAATAAAAAATGCACTTTTAAGATTACCACTCGAAGTATCTTAGCTGCTTTGTTCACTTACCTCACTTACCTGATTTCCCCAGTCTCCGGGAGTTTAAGTTCTCCAATCTGTGTCCCCGAATCGCCATATGGATAGAGCAAGTTGCGACACAGCCGGTGGCATTTTCGGGTTGTGCCACCAGAAGACCAGAAGACAATGGAGTGTCCTCGTTAGCCGGCACATAAAGAGCAACAACAAGGCAACAAAATCCGGAGGAGCAGCAAGTGGGAGGTGAAAAAATAAGAGCACAAAAACAAGACACGTCCGTCATATAGTAGAACGAACTCATTAGCCTACATGCCGCATTTTCCGCCTACACATGTGGCAGCATAAAAAGGGGCATGTACACCAAAGGTGCTAAAACTAGCACTTGCATAAACATATTTCACAGATCAATCATATGGAAATATTTAAAATATATATCAGGATACATTCATTGTTGATTAAAATATAATCGTAAACAATCTGAGATTGTTATTTCGAAATTGGTTTTGCATCTTATGACAAAACCTTCAGACATTCAGATTTATTTATGATGAAAAGAAAGAGTAACCTACAAAAAGAAACCTTTATTCCTAATACTATTATCCCAACCGAACCTCTTAATATGAAGAGTATTGTAAGAAGGGGGCGTGGCAAGGGTTGAGGGGCTGAAGGGCACTGGGGTCCCCAAATGGAACACAAATGCGCTCTGGCTTGTTGCAGCCGTGTGCTTTCCTTGTTGCTACATATTTTGTTTGCTTAAATGCCGGAAGTGTTGCAAGCCACATCAGAAGTGGGCGTGGGCCTGGGCGTGGGCCTCTGCCGCCCACCTTAACCCCTTCGGTCCCTAAAAGTGCCTGCAAGCAACAAATGTTGTCAGCATGTAACATTCTATGTTTGACATATAAGGTCATAAGCCACTGTCAGCATACTCTAACTCGTTTTGGAAAATGAAAGCCTATTGAAACCGTCAAGAAATATAAATCATATTTTATCAGTTAAAAGATAAATTGTAGAGCCAACATATTTTTTATGCCATTTTAATTTTAATTTTATATTTAGGCTTATTGGGAGTAGAGTATTCTTCTGATAAAAATAAAAATACATTTTGGTATGTTCATCTAAATATTATCCAAAAGATTTTGCTAGCAATACTAAGTGTACTACATGTTTATCCCGTGAATTGGCAAAGGACATCCCAGATTCGTGACTCTATCATTTGCGAATATCCTTTCCTGTTTTGTTGTTCGACATTTACCGGTTGGCAGTTATCAGAGTCTGTTGTTGCTGCTGCCATTCTAACTCTTAATTATGCCTTTTAGGGCTTCGAAGACTTGTACTTCTTATTCGCAAACAAAAGCGACAGTCGGCAGTCGGCAGTCTGCAGTCTGAAGAGGGATTTGCATTTGACCTCGTATTAATTGCAATTAATTGCTGAACAAGTGGCACAGGGTGGGCCATCGGGTGTTTGTCTCCGCAGGGAGGCTCCAGCAGCCAATGGGCGGCCACTTCATACCCGGGGAACCTGGCGAGAAGCCGTGTGATAAGAGCTGATAACAAAGGTAAACAAAGCCGCAGCCAGATGGATGCCCTGATGCCATCCGTCGGCGACTTTGGCGGGAAACGCTGTAATTCGTCAGATATTCGGCGGCCACTGCGCATGCGTCTCAAAATCCGACATTCGACGCTCGGAAAAGCCTCGTTTTTCGTTCCCACACACTCGGTATAAGAGCGGAAAACCAGTATCTCAAGTGTGGCACAGAAATAGCGGGAAATTTATGCGAGATAACGATTCCGATGCGAAGGTTTGGCCCGCCGTCGAAGATCAGGATCAGCATAATATTATAATTAATGAGCAGCCGAAAATTTATTTCGGCACAAGGTCTTCGAGAGCTTTAGTGGATTTTTAAGAGTACACTTTTCACAAATTTCCTTAGGTTAAGAAGCGATAAGTAAATTAATACGTTGAAAAGAGTCATTCAAAATTGTTTGTTCTTTAACTTAGCTTCTTACTTAAAGTTAAAAGATACCAAAAATGTTTAATTTTAATAATAAATAAAAAACACTACCTTTTTATCAGTGATAGAGGTTTGTCTTATCTGCAAATGTGAAGAACACTTAAGCATGGATGGCATTGTTTGGTAACCTACTATACTTTAAGTTTGAATAATAATTTGTAGAGCTCACTCTACCTGGCCTTGCTTCTTTGGCCATAAAAGCGAACTGAAATCCGGGTTTCGGCACAGTTGAAGCCCTCCAACGAAGCCACCAAGATGCTGCAACAATCTTTGACCCTGATTTTGATTCTGCTGCTTGCAGTCTGCTGTTTTTCGGCAGAATTGCCTGGAAATGCCTACTTGCCGCCGCTAAGAAATCATCATCACCACCAAGTTCCAGACGAAGCCATACCACTCGATAATGGATTCCTCTTCGATATCGAGCAGGATTCACTTGGACGATATGCTCCTATTTTTGTGGATTATCCCGGAGTTCATCAACTTCTGCGGCAGCAACAGGAATACGCTTTGGATTTGCCATTCGAGGAGAAGCCGCGTGAGAGGAAAACCCCAGAGTTTGAATTTGATTCTGCAGATAGAAAGGGATGGTAGATTATTCATGAAACAATTGAACAATAAATAAATAAATGTTTTTGCAAGTTCAAATAATTTTATGTTTTCTCTGATTTTGTACTAAGTTGAAGCTACAACCAACATAGCTAAAGCAGTTATCCTTATGAATGTTACTCAAAATGATTTGTCTGTCAGAGAGGCTTTAGTTTCAGCAACTTTGTTTGGCAAACTTCTTATAATGCACTTATGCAAGCATATTTTCTTGTGTCCTTAATTTCTGAATAAGTGTACGATGAAATGTGTGCAACTTTGGCCTTCGTTCGGTGGAGTGGAGTGGATAACCGCAACTTAATCCCCGACCTGTCCTTAGCCGTATCAGCAACTTTTAGCACGGTCCGGATTTTTGGCTCGGACCCCGCTCCCCCCCTCCGCCCCGCCCTACGCACCTAGTAGGTGTATAAGTGTATGTGTGTGCGGTTTTAATCAAGTTTCGCCACTTAAGTTTGTGCTCAGGTGGAAAACACTCAAAAGCCGCCTGACCGAACCAACCGAACTCCGAACTCCACTGAGCTGAAGCCCCCTTTTCCGCACGCCCCTGCGGAAAGTTTCAAGAGCTTTGCGACGCGTTGTTGCTGAGTTTCGTTTTTGTTTTTAATTTTTGTTCTGGGTTTCTCTACTCTCTCTCTGTGTGTGTGTGTGTGTATAGCTTTTCCGGGGGGCCTTTTCGGGGGCTTTCCACGGCTGTACTCCCCACTAGTTGGTTTCGGCCGCGTCGGTCAACCTGTTACTCATCTGTTTCGCCGCAAGGTCCGTTGGCCATTCATTGTTTGCCCCTCGGAAGCGAAATAGCCACCCTCCACCCGTTGTAACTTTAAAATCAATTAAATTGAGTGCCAGCATGATTGGGCAAAATGATTGTGCATATGTTTGGGACGCCACAATCAACTTAAGTCATTTAATTTATATATTAGAAAGGGTGGCAGAAGGAAATATTCTTCTACAAAAAGTTAAGGTCCCTTTTTGTAGATGTTGCTTATGTTCTACAAAGGCAACTTTAAGGAAATAGTTGTAAATTATTTTTATTGGCATTTAATACCGCTTAACTTAAAGCCCTTCGGAAATGTTAACACCTTGAGGCATACAAATTTATTATAAATTAAGTTCTTACAACTTGAGACAAGCTCATAGCATTATATTCAGCTCTTAAAAACCCCCAGACCACAAAATCCAAATTACTGGCCTCAAGAATGAAGCGTGAATTCGCAATCCGGCCACATGAGTGTGTGTTAGTGAGCCAAAGTCAATTGTCAAATTGAGACACACTCACACATAGAAGGAGCGACATATGCTGGCAAGTGGATGTGAGTGTGTGTGTGTGTGCGTGTGAGGGTGTTTTGTTGTTAGCTTCATTATTTGCCAAGTAAAAGTAATGAGACTTTTGTTGCCTTGTTGGGTTGCACATGAGTGCGCCTTCTATGAATTCTTTGTGTTTGCACACACACACACACACACTTACACTCAGAGACACATTTACAAGCACAATGCGTTTGCAGAAAATAAGGTTCCACACACACACACACACACAAATAAGCTCGCGGAGTATCTGTGTGAGAGTAAGTGAGCGCTGGCCTTTTGTGTATTGGACAAACAAAAGCGCAATCCGTTGACAGACAGTGGGTTGCACAGTGGAATGACAGCCAAAAAAGAGTTAATTAAAATTCGCAAATATATATTTATATTAAAGTCCATTAGGAGGAGCTCAAATAAGTAAGTTTATCTCAAAAGAGAATATGTAATTGAAATGAGAATGTTAAAATAGCGCAGTTTGTTAGGAATTAAACTGAATTAAATTGAAAGTATGTTATGGTTTGTTTAAAACTCAAATTCTTATAGATAAATGTAGGAAGCACTTTTAGAGCAAGTTGTTTAAATTAGTTTTCAGCTTCTTCAGGCATCCCATATAATTAGGATCTTAATTAATTAAGACTTTCCCCCAGTGCAGCTAACCAATAACAATTGCAGGGGAAGTAAACAAAGTAAAAGCATTTGGAAATGCTGGAAAGCATTCGGTTTTGGACTGCAATTTCAGTGGATAAGTGGCTCGGGGCCAAAGGGGATTTTCGAGGGGGGAGGGGGTTCACTAGGTCTCCTGGCTGCTGGCCAGTTTGCGATAAGAACCAGCGCCTCCCCCACCCCTTCCCCTTCTACCCTTTGCTGCCACTTGGACTCTGGCCTCCGTATTACCGATAGAAAATAAATTAATTTTCATAATAATTGGCTCACTCTGGCTCTGTTTAACCCGTTTGCCACCCAGGAACCAATTCACTGCATTGCCCGGGGCTTTCCATTCGTATTTCCACTCCTCCCTCCGCCCCTTTTTCATCCCTTTTCCCCCCTTGCCGAACCCTTTTTCGGAACTGGGCGCCAATAATAATAACATTGTTAACACAACGTGCGCATGTAATAAAATCGTTTATTGAATTGGCCATAAATTTTCGCAGCTACAACAGCCGCAAAAGGCGCACAAAGTCAAAAAGTTGCAGTCCACAGGGGGCATGATGGGGTTAAGGGGCGTGGCACGGGAGGCGGGAAGTGGAGATCCATTGAGGGCTTGCCTTTTGTGTATGAGTTTAGAGAGCGAGAGAGAGAGGGAAGAGGCAGAGGGAGAGGGAAGTGAGTTTGTGGGAGAAGGAAAAAGCGAGAATCGTTGGAGGAAAAGCGAGGAAGGAAAACCCAAGAGGAGGGGGTTAAGCTCTGTGGGTTAACCCATTGGTGGCTGGGTGTTTATCTCCTTGCCTGTGCGCTGCTACATCGTTCACCTGTAAGCTGCAGCTAATTCAACTACCACTAAAACGATTCAAGCAGCCGAACTTGAGGGTAATGAGCCCTAATGGGCTTAAGTAATTAAATTTGCAGTCAGCCAGCGCTTTCAAACGGTTGAAGTGATCTTCGGTGAGCTGAGCTCTGGGTTTCTATTTAATAAATTTGGAAACTGTTGAATTTAACGCTGTATATTGCTCACAGTTTGGTGGTTCGGTGAGCTGAGCTCTGGGTTTTTATTAAATAAATTTGGAAACTGTTTAATTTAACTCTGTATATTGCTTACTCTTTGGTGATTTTTTAGCGGAAAGTTAAAGCAAGCCTTTTAACTAATATTAACATAAATATTAAAATAAACCGTATTAAAACCTATTTGCAATTCCACTTTTTAACCAGATAATATCCTCTCCTTTTTATTCATAATTAGGCAGAGCTTTATCCTTTTAAGGAGAATTTCTTCGCTCGGATGTGAGTGTGGATCCTTGAAGAGCCTTGCACATTACGTCCATTAATTTGCGCCAGCGTTTTAACTACCGACATAAATTGCATGTAGCGTCATTAATAAGCATAAAAGCGTCTTCGAAGGGGGAAGAGGGAAAGAGGCGGGAGGCGGTCGGAAAAGCGGGTGGAAAAGCGACTCCTTGGTGGCCACTTTGGCGTGCTGTTGGCGCGAAGGACGCGCTTAAAATGTTTTCGATGCTGTTCAATAATTTCCCGCATAAGGGGACAGCAGCAGGATGAAACCGAGGATGAAAATGCGAGTTGCCAACAAGGACGAAGATGCGACAGCGACTAATGAGCTTGATAAACGAGCCGCGGCGATAAGATCCTCGTTCTTCGTCTCCTTCTCGTTTGTTTGCTTTTAAAAATTGCGCGCTCAATGAAGTGATGTGTAAATAACGGTATTATATTTCAAAAGGCTCTCATCTCATTTGAGCTTAACTTTGTCCCCCGTCCCGAAGAAGGATGCCATCTCCTCCTTCGATAATTATTGGATGGATGTGCAACAGGAAGTGCAGGATGTGAATTGGACTAGGGAGACATGGGGAGCTTATCTCGCCAAGTGGTACAAAGGACATTCCACACGAGGACTTGCCAATGGTGAATAATGAATGGGATCAGGCTGCCAACAATGGACGGGCTGTCCCCCTCCCCTTTTCCCCTCCTTCTCCTTCATTTCCCCTCGGATCCCACATATTTTTCTGCTCCTTTCATTGTTGGATTTTTCTAGAAGTAGCCTATAGCTTATGAACTGAAAAAAAATAATAGCTTAATTTACCTGTGAGAAGTTATTCCGATTTTTGAAGACTTAAAGCTAAGAAAAGCTTTATAAATATGTATGTATTTATGTATTATTTGTATCCTTTTGTTTTACTATTTATGCATGTATATTTCTTTCTTTTTCTGCCAGTGCACCCACTTCACTTTACTTTTAATATGTTAAACTGCGGGAGTTGACGACGCACAAAAGTGCGGCATGCCAAGCATGTGGACCATTACCTCCGATCCCCCCATTTTCCATCCATCCCCCCCTTCACCCCAAACCCACACTAATGTGGAGTTCATAAAAAATGTAAAGAAACGAGGACAGTGGCGGCGGCAGAGAATGGAGAATGCGAAGAGGGGGCGGAGGGAACGGGGGCAGTGGAGGGGGCAAATGGGACACAAAGCAAATGCACAAACTGTAAAACTGTAGCCAAGCACTTTTTGATTTATGGAGAGCCAAGCGGGAGTAGGTTAGACAGACTGGGCCAAAAAAGGGACGGCGGTCGTGAGGGGGCAAGGGGGGTTTTCTATGAGAGAGAGCGCAGTTTGGTCGGAAGTGTAGACAATTTGTTAGAATTTATACAAAAAATGCAGGCCGCTTTGCCCGAGATAGAAGTGGGGGTACATATATATACATATATACATATATATAAAGGTCCTTTTTGGCCATATAAAACATGCGAGGCATTTCATTTTAAAGCAGCTCAAACAAAACAAATGCATCGGCTTTTGTGTGGACTTGAAACTAATGATTTTCACTTACCACAGCGACAGGGGAAGAGCTGCGGGGAAAATGCGGAAAAGCTTGCCGGGGTTGGTCGGTGGGTGGGTGGATCCACACACACCACACACACGGAATCTCTGCACAGATTTACATGACATTATGTCATTGTTGTTGCTGCTGCCCCGGCTGCTGCTTCTCCTGCTGCTTCTGCTGTCTGTTTTTATGACGT